CCTTCATGCTCCTAGATTATGCTCTTCTCCTTCAGAACTGTTGTTCTTGCAGTGAGCTGATTTTTAGCTGAATTTTAGGAGTCTGTAATCTATTCAATAGATTCACCTTAAGGCATTTACTATGATAGCTTTATCATTTGTAACCTAAATGAACTAAAAATGTATACAATGTCAAAATAAGAAAAGGCATTTAAGGTAGCATGGATGAAGACAGTTTTAAGCAGGTACAATAAATATATCAATCCAATGTAGAAGAGATTATATTCTTGCCATGTGCAAGGCTTATGAATCTGGACATCTCTGCCCTACTGCCCACACCATTTGTGATTGCAACTATTTGGAGGTGTATTCAAGATGCTGTGGGAATGCTCCATCCTTGGTTCAAGCAATAAAGGGTACACTGCCTGTAGAGAACAGAAAAACACTGATAAAACTAAGTCAGCTTGCCTTATATTTATCATCAAGTACAGAAATTCTAAGCAATGTCGTGATGTAATATCCCTTCCCACCTTGGTGGACCAGTCCCACTGTTCCTGCATCCCCTTGGGGTTTCTTGCCAATACTTCCATCTCCCCATTCAAGACACCAGAACAGAAGTCAGCTCTGGCATCTTACTTTTCACAACTATTGCTACTCGACTAGGAGAGTTAATGTGTTGGTGACCTGCACTACAAGGGAAAGAGTTCACTGTAACTCCAAGAATTCAAAAGACTGTGCTTCACAAAACAGATTATAATTTACTTCAAAATGTGACATAAACAGTAAATATAAGCTTGGATTATAAATAAAATTAGCCCTCCACATTAATTCAACCAGAAAAGTCTGTCCTGGAAGAGTAATTCACTTGTCAGCCAAGCAAAAGACATTTGTAACAGATAGCTGAATGTAACTGTTAAACTAATTGAAGTGCAAGCCTATGAATTTGATCTGGACCAGAGGCTGTGTCATTTCCCTCACGACCATTAAGTCCTGCCCCCGCATGGAGTATCATTGCTGGTCCAGCAGGTGGCACTCTTCCCTTTGTGCACTGGTACTAAACTAACAACTTGCCCAATTCAAGGCCTTGCCTTCAGAGCCTTGCCTTCGGAGGAACCCTTATCTATGGCAATAATATGGTTATAACTTTTACAAGGGCAACTGTGCTGATCTGGTCTTTGTCAGATTTGAAGATTTGTATCTACGCATCTCAATATCCCTTTGGTTCTAGAGTTTGTCAGTCTTAGTTTTAAGCCTTCATTGATTTTTGTTAAAATATTTGGACTCAGTGTCCAAGGTCTTATGCAATGCTAGAGATCTATATAAAATTTTGATGATTCATATTTGAATAGTATGTTAAGCAAAAGCAACGTTTCTCAATAAGAAAAATCAATGTTTTCTAATAAAAATTCCACATACCCCTGGAGCTCCTGAAAACCTCCTCTCAAGAATCATTGATGAGCAGAAGTTGGATTCCATCTTCTACATGTTCTCTCTTGGTAAAAAAGAAGTTTGAGATTGTCCCTCCTTTGGTTAAAGTCACTAACTGTCCAAGTAGACAGATGTCGCTGTCTCCAATGAGAACACGGCAACCAGGGGATTCAAAGTTCTATGACATGCAATGAAATCCCCAAACACACATTTTAAAGGTACTAAACGTGTATTGAACTCATTTGTTCCTTTAAGAAAAGGTAATCTAAATAGGTGAATTTCATGGTGTGTGAATGTATCTCAATTAAGATGTTAAAAAAAAGCAATTCTTTTAGTATGTGTTATTTACCGGAAAGAAATGGTCTTAAGAGTATTTTAATACAAAATATATTGATACAGTACAAAACCTGACATTGCATAGGAAATTTTCTCAACTAGCTGATTTGAATCATATGAAGTTGAATCTGGCTCATAAAGTTCTTGAATTGCTTGGAGACTCATTTTTAGTGTGTGATTAATAAAATGATGCCCACATAGGATTTGCAAATGTTAAATACTACGACGAAAATAATGAATTCCTTAATTTTTTTCTGTAAACCGATTGGGAAAAAGTGCTTTATTTGTTTGGGTGAAAAAAGGGAACAGAAGTCCTTTCTTAATGATTTTCAAGGCTCAATTAAAATTCCACTTTCTCTAAAAAATTGCTTCCTTGACCACTCCTGTTCTTATTGATAATAACAATACTAGCTTCCATTTACTGAACACTGTGTTCCCGGGAGTATGGCAAGTGCCTCACAGACCTGATCAAATTTAATTTTGACAATAGCCCATAAGGTGTTATTAGCTCTATTTAACAGATAAGGAGACTGAGAGAGGTAAGTTGAGCAACTTGACCAGGTCCAATGGCTATTAAGTTATCAGACTAGGATTCAAAGCTGGAACTGTTGGGTTACAAAGCTTGTTAATACTACATCATACAAATCCTTCCTTGTACCTTGTTCCCTCTGTGAATGCTGCACATTAACAAAGAATGAGAGGTCAGAATAATCAGTCTTTTCTCAGAGTGTTCCCAAACAGAAGGTGACAAGCTAAAACTGAATTCTGGTTGAAGATCCAAATTAGTTTTCTTTAATAATAAGAACAGTATTCTGGGGCACAATTACAGCAATTTATAGAATAAAAAGAAACTACTCTGAGGAGATGTGCTTACTTCTAAGAGCCAATATTGAGAAAAGAATTGAACATTGAATAGTTTAAATCATTGCGCGTGTAGTTAGTTACCTGAAATGCATGTTAGTCATTGAGATCACAGCTTTGATTGAGTCCAGATTCTTATATTTTATATTTCATTCATTCGTTTATTCAATGGTTATTTACTGAATACCCACTATGTGCCAGGTGCTGTTCTAGGCATTTGAGAAACATCAGAGAACATAATGAATAAAAATCCTTGCCCTTAAAGAAAAAAAATAATAAAAAGAAAATATTAAAAAAAAACAAGAAACAATATCAACAGAGAAAATCCCTGACCTTATGTAGTTTCTGTCTCAGTGGGGAGAATCAGACAGAGAAATATATGTCAGATGATGCTAAGTGATACAAATAGAAATATGAAGGGAAGGAGCAGAGAGAGATGAGGGCTGGTTTCTATTTTAATTTTTAATATTTATTTTTGTTCAAAATATTAGATGTCCCTTTTTTTCTCCAATGACCCATTCCACCCCATCCCACCCCCCTCCCCAGTCCCTCTCCACACCATTGTCTGTGTCCTTGGGTTGTGCATATATGCATATAAGTTCTCTGGTTAACCTCTCTCCCTCCACCCACCCGCCCTCCTCCATCCCTCTGAGATTCATCAGTCTGATCCGCGCTTCCATGTCATTGAATCATTTCTGTTCATCAGTTTATTAAGTTCTTTAAATTCCACATATAAGTGAGATCATGTGATATTTGTATTTCTCTGCCTTGCTAATTTGATGAGTGCTGGTTTTTAAATATGGGGGTCAAGAAAGACTCTCTGAGGTGTTAGCATTTAAGTGGAGATTTAAATGAAATGAGAGTGAACCATGTGAATATCTAAGGGAAGAGTTCCCCAGGCAAAGGAACAGCATGTGCAAAGGCCCTGAATTTGGTGTGGTCTTAGCAGAGAAAAAAGGCCGCTGGGGCTGGAACAGAGTGAGGAAGGGGAGAGTTGTCATAGATGAGGGCACAGAAGAATTTGGGCCTACTGTCAGTGATAAACTTTGTGGATTTTTCTCTGAAGAAGGGAGAATAGTTAGGAGGCTATTGTAATTATAAAGATGAGAAATGATGGGGGTGATAGCAGCGGAGGGGATGAGAAATGGTTGGACATTAAAGATATTTTGAAAGTACTGAACAACACAGGGGATTAGAGGCATCAACGCTCCCAATAGAAAATCCATGTATGACTTTTGAATCCCCAATTGCTCAGTATCCACAGGGAATTGGTTCCAGGATCCCCATGGATAACAAAATCCACAAATTTGAAACTGGGGGAGATACTGAAGTCTGACTGTATATTTATTGAAAAACATCTTCATATAAGTGGACCTGCGAGACTCAAACCCATGTTATTTAAGGGTCAACTGCAAAACTGAGAGGATTTGTGGATGGACTGGAATGTAAGGTGTGAGAGATTGGGTGTGAGGTGTGGGAAATCTTTGTGTTAAAATCCTAGTGAATTAACTCTGGAGGGAAGAGCCTTCAAAGTCTTCCTCAGGCTTCCTTCTTATGTGTACAGACCATTTGACCTTGGAGGTTAAGTCAACAGGAGTCATTAAAAGTCTACTAAGAATAGGAAGAAATGAGTGGTGACCCTCCTGCCCAAGCTGGTTCTTATGTGGGACAGGCTGCCAAGCTAAACAGTGGCTGTGGGAAAAGAACAGATGCCCTTTCTAATAAGCTATTTCCAGTGTGCCAAGGAGAGGAGCTGAACCTAAAGGTGTAAGAACAGACTGATCAAATCTTTGGAAGTTCCACTGCTGGGAGCATACTGTAGAATCCAGCCCCGGGTTTCCCCTAAGTTTTTCAATTTCTCTTCCTTTTTTCCCTTCATTCCCCAACTCCCTTCTTGGCCTAACTTCTTGCCTGCAGGAAGGTACAGTTTATCCTTGGTTGTCAAACTTCAGCAGGTGTCAGAATTACCTGGGGTGCCTGTGAAAACACAAGATTGCTGGGCCCCACTCCCAGAGTTTCTGAGTTTCTGATTGGGGCCGTGGGGGTGTGTGTGTGTGTGTGTGTGTGTGTGTGTGTGTGTAGCTGAGGCAGAGAGGGAGGGGCTTGGAATTTTGCATTTCTAAATTTAGGTGATGCTCGAGGGCATGCGAAGCCCTGAGATCTAGAAGGCCACCTGGTGCGATGTGCGCGGGGAGGGTTCCAGCTCACAGATGTTTCCAGCCGCCGGGGGAAATGGTCCGCTGACCCCTAGGTGTTTCTAGGCTGCCCGAAGCCGCTGAGAATGAGAAGCTGAAGCCAGCAAAGCGAAGGCGCGGGAAGCGCTTCCAGGCTAGACGCCCCGTCGGAGCTCAGCCGCGCAGCGAGGGCGGGAAGGCGCCCGGGGCCAGCCCCCGGCTCCTAGGAGGGCGCGGACCTGGAGGAGGCGTCCCAGGAGGCGGCGCCTGTCGGAGGAAGTTGTCCTTTTAACTGCAGAGCCCCGTGGCCAGTCGCCTCGGCCTCCAGGAGCGAGCAGCGGGTGCCCACCGGAGCCGTCAGCGCCGCCCGGGGTGTGGGCCCGGTCGCCTCCGCGCTCTGCCCCCGCGCGCCCCGCAGCCATGGGCTCCTCGGCCTCCAGCCAGCTGGACGAGGGCAAGTGCGCCTACATCCGAGGTAAGGAGCCTGGGGATGCGGGAGACCCTTAAGCCAGACGGGCTG